TGGGTTTTCAGGGGAGGTGCAAAGCATCCTGGGATGCTGGGGAACTGAGAGTCAACTTGAACATGGAGGGGATCTGGGACAGAAGTTCAATAAACCAATTTAACCTAAATCAGTTAAATCTGATACTACATCCATCTGAGTTTAAACCGGTTTCAGCCATTTTGAAAGCAGTTTAAGTGCGCTGAACTTCTGTTGTGTTACAGATTTGAACCAGTCTCCAATCACTTATACCGGTTTATGTATAATTTCTGTCCCTGTCAGAGGTAAAGGGAACAAACCCAACTCGTTATTTTTAAACCCATCTCCTGACCTGGAGGTTGGGTCACTAGTCTGAACTGCTTGGGGACTGCAACAGTGTCAATGTATGGGAACCACAGCCTGTCGGCTCTGCACTCTTCGTGGCCTTTCTGGGGCTTTTGACCATGAGCTGGGGGAAGAGTCTAGCTTTCTACCACTCCAACCCAAGAGAGATTCTCCAGCCAGCTCCCCGGGGATGCAGCAAGGGCTTTCCACTAAGCCCTGTGCACTGGGCCAATTTCCCCTGATAGGAACAATTCCAGTAAAACCTTTCACAGTGCTAGTAATTCAGTGCCAACCAGTGTAGTGCCCTGTGCAGCCCGACCAGAAGCCCCAGCCTCCACCAGGAACTTTCTCGGGTCTACGTTAGGCATTGGATCAATGCAAACAAAAGAGACTGCAAAAAACCTGCCTCCCGGTAGCACCACACACAAGGGCAGCTGCAAATATGCAGCAGCTTTGCCCAAGCAGCTCCAGACCAGAAGCCAAGCAAGGGGGCAAGGGCAAAGAAAGGGATGAGATGAAATGTTACAGCAAAGTGAACACCGCTTTGATGAGAAACACACTCGCTCTCCCAGAAATAACTGGGCTCTGCAGAAGAATCGCAGACAGTTTCCAGCAAGAGATCAGACTGGAAACGATGGCCCCTTACGGCTCGGAGACCTATTTGTTTTGTCCATTTCAGTAGGACGAGAACAAACCAACCCTTCCAAGAGAAAATCCTCCCTGCTCGACCGCACAGAAATACACTTCCCTCGCTACGAGCAGCAGCAACACAAAAAACACCTGGAAATCAGCAACCTGGCACGGGTAAAGAAAGACCCCAGGCACCAGACTGGAAACACTGACAGGGCAACCCCCATGGGCCTAATCCAGCCACCTGCCTGCAGCACCCTGGGCACCCCCTTTCATATCGCTGCCCACCCCCCTATGCAGGATCGGGGCCTGGGACCTTGTCGGGGTTGACACAACCACAGAAATGTGTATGTAGCACAGTGCTGTTCTTGCCTGCAGGGAAAGTGCTGGGCAGGCAGGCTGAACGATCCCAAAGCGCAGCCCATGCCCCCGTCACTGCCTGCTTCTAGATCCTCAATTGTCTGAGACACAAAACTGCTGCTGCAAACTATTGTTTTGCCCCCAGCCCCAGGCACTCATGTATACACGGCTCCCATGCTCGTGCACACACCTGACCACGCAAAACAGGCTGCCCTAATGCACGCCAGTCCAGGCAAGCAAAGGAAGCAGGATGGATTGGGGACCGCCTGCTCCAGCAGCACCCTGGGAAGCGAGGACTACGGGATACTCACAGATGCCCCCGACAACCCCGGCGATGCGGCACAGCCACCTATACCACCAGGTCATGCCATCATCGTCGCTGGAGTCAGCTGGGGCCAGGGCCGGGGCTGGGGCGGCCGGCTGGAACTGATCCTCCTGGGAGTTCATGGTAGCCGGCTTCCTCAAGGGCCAGGAGCCGCCCCCCTTCCCACCTGAGGCAGAGCAGTGGGGGATGCTCCCCCCCTCCTGCCCTCTTGGTGACAGCCCCTCACGGGGGGGCCGCAGCTGCTGGGCCCCTCACCACCGCCCCATGGAGCCAGCTTGGCCCCCGCCTGCCCCTCAACAGCTGTTCTGTTCCTGCTGACAATAGAGAGTCTCTGATCCACGTCGCCCTGCGCGCTGCATTGTGGGGCCCCCCCCCTTGTGGGAGGGCTCTGATGTCAGCCCCCTCGTTAAGCAGCCAGGCAGGCCGGGCCTTGGCTCTACATATTCATGAGCTGCAGCTCCCAGAGGAGGGGCTCCTTGCAGGTCTGCATAGATGCACAGGAAGGCAGGCACGTTTGCAGGCAGGCATGCAGGGAGGCCTGATCCGAGTGCACCTGGGTGGATGCCTGCCCACAGGTGAGCTGCAGAGGGAGCAGCTGTGAGCCGCTGCATGGCCACACAAGAGCTCCCCGGTGCCAACCAGCAGCACTGCCGTACATGTGAGTCTGGCTGAAAACCCACGCACAAGCCTCTGGGAAGGCTTCCCAGCTGTGCTGTGACTGCTGTGGTCACTGCTGCACTTCTGCTTCACGACAGAGGCTGAGTGACTTGCCCAGGACCACTCAGTAGGTCTGTGGCAAAACCAGCAGAACCCAGGTGTCTGCCTGCGTGGTCCCCTGCTTTCACCACTAGGCTGTCCTGTCTGGACAACTGTGCAGGAGAGGCAGGGGGCTGGGCAGCAGGCCTGTCAGACCAACCAAGTGCCTGCACAGAGATGGAGGAGGCCCGAGGTGCGGTCAGTAGGTGTGGGTTGCTCTTTGGTACAGTACCACCCCCTTCACGCCAGCTCTTCCCAAGGGCAATAAAAAGTTCATTGACTCCCAGATCCGTCTAAGTTCAGACATTTGGAAACAGGGTCCCTCCTTCAGGATTTAACCCGATAGGACAGTCCTGTAAAGCTGCTCTCTCTTGTGAACTTGGACCTGACTGTGTGTTCCCATGGGGCTTTCACAATCTCCTCCTGCTGCATTTCTTGGGTAAACAAGGGTGTTTTAAGAAATGCAGGGAAACCAGTGAGGGCCCTTTCACATTAGCTACTGGGGAAAGTGCCTTTGAACTGTGGTGTTGCCAACTCCTTCATCACAAGTCTCATGCTATCTGATGGTTTCTTAAGCCCCAGCTCCTGGTATCAGCTCATTACATTAGACTCTCAGCTTTAAGCGTATGTCATATGTCAGGGGCAAAAAATAACATCTCCGATGCTGCTTCTGCCCAAAGGCCATTTTGTGCTCCAGTCTCCAACTGTTCCAGAGGTGATCTTCCTTAATGATGATGGAGGAGAGAGATAAAAAAAGGAAAGGTTTAGCTCTGAGCAAGAGAACAAATTGCAACAGCTGAGCACCAAAATCTCAGGTCTCAAGAGACGTTCTGCTGTTCAATGACAATGTTCCAGTCACAGGTCAATGTGATGGCAACAGATAGATTATTACAATCATACAGAAATTAAAGCAATGAGGCACTCTGGGAAAGATTTAGATTAAAGAGAGAAGGCCAAGTGCATTCAGATGAAGAGTGAGATCCTGGTTCCATCTCAGTCTATAGCAAAGCATCCTCTGACTTCAACAGTGCTGGGTTATCCCCTGATGTCGTGGCAATTTACTTGTCAGAGACTCCCTCAGGTGGGAATGTAATAGGACCGGATATAGTGAAAATGGCCTTGATCCTCCCAGTTTACTTGGTCTCTGCTGTAGCATACCGATTTTCCTTCAGGACACATCCCTTAAGTTAATTCCAGTATATTTCCCATTCCCTAGTCCTGAAATAGGTATATAGGTTGCAAAATCTCAGACAGGTCCTACAGGGAGAGCTACAGTTCTGTAGTTGTAGTCCCAAGAACCATACACAGTCTCTTTTGGACTCACAGTACTGTAGTGTGTCTAGTACTTGGAACCAAGGCAGATGGGGAGAAACTGGATAGTGCCACTATTGCAGCTTCCATGCTTGATATGGTTACAAAACAGACTAGGAAGAGAATACACTCTCACTGCTATTGAAGCTCTTGGGTAAATAGGGACATGCTATGAAATGCAGGGAAGCAGATGATGAATCCACTGTGCAGCATGCTGGGCACCTTTAACTCCAACTACAACAGGGGTGTAGGTGTTCAGACCACCTCCTTTCTGCCTCCTCTCCCAGTTACTGAGTGTAAAACTGGAGGCTAGTGATTGAAAAAAATCCAGGCTTAACCACTAGAAACATGCACCACAAAAAGATGGGAAGCTGTGAATCTGGGGCTTTGACAGGGCATCACAGAATCCATTTAAAAGCAGACAAGGAGAGGGCTAAAACTCCCCAAGGGGAACATCCATATTTCACCAGATGTGAATGCAAGGTGCAGCCATTCCCAGCAGAGCTTCCGATCAGCACTGAAGAAGGCTGCTTTGCACAGGAGAGAGAGGTCAAAAGATTTCAATGAGGTCAAAAGATTTTTGGACCAAAATGAGACCGAGGTGAGCAGGTCTTTCTGATGAAGAGGATTCTTCTAAAAACAAACTGGAATCTTAACTGACCAAAGACAAGGGTGAATTTATCACTGCTTTATACCACTCTTCACTGCTGTTACCACTGATCATACGCAGCTTCCAAGGGCTTTCCAGTGTACCAGTGCACATACAGTGAGATATAAGGAGGTTGTTGTATTATGTACTGTAGGGTATATATTATTATATGTGCTATAGTTTTGGAGATATTCTACTGAGTTCCACTGAGTAACCAGTCTTGCTGATGTCACACTTAATTTCCCTGCTAATTGCAGCTTACAGTGTCCAGCTGTTACTCTCTATGGGGGTAACTTTCATTATCTTTAGTCTTTACCAAGAGAGGGCTTGTACCAAGAAGTAAAATAGATAATGAAAAGAAACTGTGCCATGTGGAAGGAAAAAGGGAAAACCTGAGAAAGGAGGATGCTCCTAAACTCTGCAGCTGACACAACAACCCTTTCTCTTTTCCTTCCAACTTGCATTTCCCCCAGAGAAATCCCAAAAGCAACACCACCAATGACAGGCTGCTGAAAAGCCAAGAGAGTTCAGTGCAGAGAAATGTGTAACACATACGCAACTTTGTAAAGTCTGTCATCAATAGAAACCAGCCCTCTGAAACTTCTGGGTGATAGAGTAAAGATGGGCCCAAAAAGCAGAGGCTGGATGCACCTGAGCAGGCAGATGTTGTCACCAAGGTTTTATTTTCCTAAATACCAGTACACGTGAGTGTTACTTCCAGACATACAAGGCCTTATTTCTGTTTATATTTAAGGCCCCATTAGATGGCGAAGTGTGTAAAACTGATCAGGTCCCTTAACACTACTGGAGTGAGACCCAGAGCCCTAAACTGCATGCTTTTTCCACACTGCTCATTCACAGCCGTGGCCAAAAGGAAAAATGCTTGTGTCTGATGGGAAAGTTTGTTCCCCTTCCCTAGCTGCTGTGATCTACGCTCCCATAAGAGGACACTGAGCAGGAGGGGCCTCTTTCATAAGACAGCATTGCATCATAGCACAGAAAGATGTATGCAGCAGTGTCCCCAGCCCTTGGCTTCAGGGAAGTACATTATCTTAGTAGTATTAATTGACAGAGTCTGAAAAAGAATCCACTGATGAAAACTATTTTGTAATACCTGGCATCTCTAGACCACCTTGTGTTCCAGGACTGCAAAGGTGCTTATTAACCAACTGGCTCCTAGGAAGCAGGCAGGGACTATTATATCTATTAAACAAATGGTGAAACAGAGGCGGGGAGGTTCAATGACTTGACTGGAATCGCATGGTTAATCAGTGGCAGGGCTCTTCACTGCTCTCCTGCCTCTCTGGCAGAAATGTCCCTGTTTCTCACTTATCTGGGCTCGGTGACCTGGTACTCTGCTCGGAAACTGCCGTGGCCTTCTGTGAAGTCATCGTGAAATTCAATTTCAGCCTGGTTCCCAGTTGACTCCCAAAAGAATAGCTGTTTCCCATGGAACACAATTGTCTTCATGGTGTTTACATCACGTATCTGAAGAGAGAGGGGAATGAGTCGCTAGCACACACTTAGCTGTATATTTCCAGCCAGAGAAATAACTGTGCTGGGATGGGAGCCCTAAGGGAAGACTAGCCAGGGGACCTGGTGCCCTACAAGACAGGATGTCGCCCTCAGCCAAAGCTGGATGCTGGAATCTACAGACCTCAATAGGATTAATTCAAGTCTACACTGATGCCATTGAGATCAGAATCTGCCCCCATTAGGTTTGCAGTGAGCTTTGAACCCTGAATTTCAACACAAACTTGTGAGGACCTAAGAGGGGCACTGAGACCTTAACTGTGCCTCACCTCAGTCTGGTGACTCACCAAGATATAACTGGAGTATGTGTGGTTGCTCTCAGGCCCCAGGTCCATGTAGAGGGCATGAATGGCAATGCGAAGCCGTGGAGCCACAGTGATGAAGGTGCGACAGGCCACTTGTCTTCTGGGGTCAGGAGACTGTACAGGATTCACAATTTCTCCTCGAGAGCCGAACAGCTGCACATCACAGTCTGTGGGGAAGGAGGAGGAGGAGAGTGGGCAGGAAAGCAGTTGGAGATCTGGTGGTCAGAGCAGCGAGGCAAAAGTAAATGAATCCAGAAAGGACATTTCAAATAGGCATCTCAGGCCACAAGCAAGGCAGCTCACGTATCTCCATGGGCCTTACTACTTCATGGACAGGTGCATCCTCTCCATGGACTGCTCTTTGGAAGCCTATGGGCCTTGCCTTCATCACCCTTAATCTAAAGCAGTAGAACCACATACCTTGGTAATGCTTTTTTGTTGCAGCTTTGCTGTTGTACTGAAAAACTATGCCGTTCCCCGGGAACACAAGACGCTGTCTCACCATCAGCGTGTTGGTCCTGGTGCTGAGAGATGCCATGGTCAGCTTCCTACAGCCAGTCCGCCACATCAGCCGCCCAGAAAAGAGCACCATCTCTCCTGTAACGAATGGGAAGTGGGACAGGGAATGCTGTCACCTCACAGCAGCTTCCTGATCTAACAAACTGCTGGAAAAATCAATGTTATCACTTCACCAACTACTGACATGCAACCACCTCTGGGTAAAATGCAGTACCTATTTAACAGTACACAGCAGCACTAGAGAGCAGTTCAAGGCACACAGCGAAGAAAACCCCTGTATCCAAATGAAATTCAAAGGGGTGTTTAATGAGGAAACTCTCACTGTTCACACTGGAATCTGGCAACGTAGCTAATGTCTTGGGCTAAAAAGGGTGTCATGGGAACTTCAAGGGCCATGACTGGATCAGGACATTGGTTCTATGCCTCGCTTGAGGACTGGAACCACCAGGATCCAAAATCCATCACAACACTATAGTTTATTCTAACCTAATACCAGTAGCCCTGTTAATATATCTACAAAAGTTTGCACAGTAGCAGAAGTGTGTGCACTGTTTTACATTACCTATGAGACAGACTCTACCTGGATTATGAAATCTTCAGGGCAAAGTGAGAGAGTCCCGCACAAGGCATGACAGAATAAATCAAGAAAGAAATCAGAAAAACAGAAACAAAAAACAATGGCCTGCACAGTGCTTCTGCCTCCTATGCCCAGGCTCTCATGAGTCAGAAGTAGCAAGTTCCCCAGCTGGGGACCCTCTAATGAGAGCAGCCTAGCCCTGGTCAACCAGCAATGCCACATGCTGAACTGTCAGAAAAAGCATGTAAAGAAGTCATGAAGCAGCAGCAGGTACAGACTTGGGAAAGAGCCTGGCTAGTCTCCCTCCATGAACCAGCTCTGCACCATACCTGCACTGCAGTTTAAGGAGCTCTCCAGCACTTTGACTGTTACCACTTCCCCCAGGGGGCGGCCGATGGCGACTGTGCAGTCACTGACCTGCAGGCCAGTCATGTTGATGACTCCCGTGGTGTTGAGGAAGAGCCTCCCGCAGATACCTGCACAACGCAAACAAAGCCAGAGGCCCCAGTGAGTGAGAGCCCCCAAAATAACATACCGATGCTAAAACACGGAGCTCACACTCTAGGTCCCCTGGCATCTGCAAGGTACTCTCTTACCAGCTCTTTGAAGGACTCCCACACCATGGCATGCATGACCTCCATGCAAGGTACACAGTGAGAGTGTGCCAGCTCTGACAAGCTTTGCCAGCCAGAGAACCCTGGAGACCCCAAACAGCTCAGCAAAGGGCATGGCAGCTCACACCTCACTTCTTTCAGGCAAGCCACCAGGGCTGCATCTGGAGGGAATGATCACCAGGAACCTGGCCATAAATCTGTGCCAGCTTGAGTATGGAGCAAACCTGAATCCCAAGGAGCTACGTACACTTCCCTGCTGCATCAGTTCTAAGGGGGACCTTCCTAGCAGCAAAGCCAATGAACAACTGCACTCAAAGCAGAGCTTCCCCATTCCCAACATCATGTCCATCCCCATGTCCTGCTACATCCTGAGGCTTCCACCCAAGCACACCGGCAAGGAGCTTTCCTGTATCCACGGGGCTTCATTCAGAGTCTATAACCAATATCATTGGATGTTAAATGATAATAAGCCCTAATTCTGGAGAGTTAATTGAAACTAACCTTCTCTTGAAGTCCCAGAGTACTCCCACACTTCTTGCCTGAGTATGAGCTAAGTGCTGGAGTATTCCTATCCTCCCTGCCTGAGTATGCACGAGAACCAAGCCTTATGTAGTGAGCACGTAACTGGACTCTCCTGCAGTGTCCTCCATGCCTGCTGCATCTTCCTCAGACGCTGTCAGCAGAGGGGCTGGCATGCCCATTGGAGGAAGATCCAGGTCCTTATATTTTGGCTTTTCGGGAGAGACAGTCACTGACATCGTCAGCAGGTTTGTGGCTGAAGATGGCATCTGGGGTTCCTCTGAGGACTTGGCTGCAGCAGATGGCTTAGGACAGGGGCCAGCAGAGCAGCCACGCACAGTGATGGGCTTGGGGGAGTGCAGGCAGAAGACAGGGTTCACATGTTCGTGGGTCTTTGGGTTGAGGCAGAAATCCTGCCGCATCTGAATGCCATTTCCACATGATGCTGAACACTGCAGGGGAGGAAACCCACAGGGGAGGAAACTACACATTTGTTTCGGTTTCTGTGCAGATTCTGGGTCAGTGCATCAGGAAACCTTGGTTGTGTTCTCACCCTTAGCCAAGTCACTTAACCTCACTGGGCTTCGATATCCCAAGCTGGAAGTCCCCGATGGCCCTATCAGGACTTACAGCTTGCTGTTTGATGGGTATCTGATCTGCTCAATGGCCCTATCAGGACTTACAGCTTGCTGTTTGATGGGTATCTGATCTGCTCAATGGCCCTATCAGGACTTACAGCTTGCTGTTTGATGGGTATCTGATCTGCTGGGAGAAGGGCTGAACAAAGCTCAGCATGGGTTTGTATGGAGCTCTTCAAGGACAAAAAACAACCATGAACAATGGTTTAACAGCAGCCAAAGACTAGAGTTAAGAAACAGGGGGCAGGGCAGACACTAGGCTAGTAAGCACACAGAAGGTGAATGGACAGTCCCTCAGAAATAGTTGGGCATTTTTGAGGGGAGTTAATACCCTGGAGTTCCCAAGAGAAAAGAGCTAGTTCCCTGCGTGACTCCCCTGAGATCAGGTGGAAAGCCCCTGCACTGGTATTATGGGACATCTCACACTGCATTTGAAGGGCAGCAGATACCTCTGTCCAGTCAGTGAAGCCCCATTCAGACGAGCACATCCTGATGACACACGGGATGCTGGAGGTGGGTTTCTCTGCCTCAGGACATAAGCTCTCTTCCAGCTCACTCTCCAGGCCCTGGTGAATCTGGACACAGATGACCACCTGCACGGCTACGCCCATACCACAGGAGGAGGAACATGGGCTGGTCCTAGCTATTTTCCACCTGGCTCAAGGACGAGAGGGGGAAATTCAATAAGGCATGATTTTCCTCCTCCATCAGCATCAAAGCAAAAGGCAGATGCTAGAAGCTACACCCCCTCCCAGCAGACAGCTGGAGCACAAGCCTCCTTTGCAGTACTGCCACCCATCTTAACCCTGACCTATGCCAATACTGCCTGGTAATGGCAGCAAGCACCCCAGATGCTTCTAACAGCAGCAGCACCTCAAGCAAAAAACATGCTGGCCTCAAAAGTGATAAAACACAGGGCCCCACTGCCCAGTCACTTCCTGGCACTTTCAAAGCCTGGCTGCTTCCCTGGCACTTTCAAAGCCAAGCATTCAGCCCCAGCATGATCCTGTTGACCTCGGAGGGCACGGCTCCAGGTTACACAGCTCCTGCTCCTCTGGGCGAGGCAGGCCATGACACTGCGCATCTGCTACAATCTCTTCCACCTTCTCCCCAGTCTCCCTGGCACAGTACAGGATCCGGCGTGTCACGCCCCCACCACAGCTGGCACTGCACGAGTCCCTTTTGTACTTCCACCTAGAGACAAGGCAGCCATCAACATCTGCAAGCGTCCCCCAGCCACCAAAGAACCAGGAGTGAGATTTGTCCAACCACAATGAATTAGTGGTGCCACTTAGTGCACCCTTGGCATCACATGCATGTGGCAGCACTGCTTCCCGCCTAGAAAGCAATCTGCATGGAGCAGCACGGCATGCTTGTGGGCATCACCAAGCACAGTAAGTTCATTGTGCTGACATGGGCTGATGGTCATTTAGCACCCAGACTCTCACAATGGTGAACTAGGCAACTCCCCTGGAAAGGTTTTGTCCCCATCTGGAGTCATGGGTTTACTGCCAGGAGGCTGTGCCCCTCTCTGTGGTAGTACATGATCAAGGGTTGTTCGGCTAAGATTTTCCAAGTCCCTTAAGGATGTGTTATGCAAGAGCTTAGATTCAGCTGTTCCCAAGGATCGCACAGGCTTTGAGGGGCAGACAGCAGTTACCTCGCTGGACATGGGACAGTGCCACACTCTTTGCTGCTGGTGGGCCAAGGTATCTGGATGCACTCGGAGAGGGGAAGGGCATGGGTTGTGTTGCCTTCTTGTCTGATGCAGCGAATGGAAAGCGGAATCCTCCCTCCTCCACAGGTCACAGGGCAGGGAGCCAGCTCCTTCACCTCCCAGCTGGAGGGGACCACAACAGAGAGAACGTCAACATGGGGACAACAGAGCACCATCCTGTGGGAATGGTGCTGAAGCCTTCACGTCACTGCACTGCTGGGGGTTCACAGCAGGAGAGAGCTTGAAGTGGCTCTTCCAACACGTCTTAGTACTGTACCTTGGCAGGCATGGGATGGGATTGCAGATTTCCATCTTGCTCTTGGGCTTTGGCACTGAGTTACAATTTTCTTCTGGGGCTTCTTCTTTGGTATCAAAAGCCACACACACATAGCGGAGCTGGGTCACACCTGGAAGGGACACAGAAAACGGCTCACAACTTGGCATGGATGGTGCAAATTAATTCAAGGCCATTGTGCCAGAAGCAGTGTGGCCTGGAGCTCAGGTACATCAGGGTTCATCTACGAGCCCTGTCACACATTTAAATTAAAGCTGGATGGAAACCAGCTATAAAGTGGTTACATATTTTCAAGCACTAGCTTCATAGCTGGTTGGCTGTTTTTATAGCTGGACAGCCGATTTTATGGCATGTTCGTTACTTTGCACATGTGGCCAGGCTAAAAATATTGAGCAATTAACCAGTTAATTGCATAATATATGTAATGTGTGGCAGGGGCCTATAAGGCCAACTCTGAGCCCCAAGAACATCTATTGACAGCAGCTCCACCTAGATTCAGGCCAGGAGTGAAGCAGCAGCAGGCTCTGTAACCCCATTTCCAGTGCTGAGCCATGCACCCCTAACTCTTCCAGCCTCTATAGGCCTGTGACCACATCTCTGTGTCTCACCTCTGCCACAGGTAACAGAGCAATCTCCAGCTAAAGGGCTCCAGACATGCACCGAGCGATCTGCCTTCTGGATGGTCTCAGCTGGCACCAATGCCGCCAGGGAGTGGGTGTCTTCCTGCTTCAAACAGGGCAGCAAACCCCAGCAAGTTACTGGCGGCTGCTGCCACCTCACAGCCTAATGCAAAACTAAGGGGAACCACTACAAGGCTTTTCATTCCTTTCAGCAGACCCTGGATAAAGCCCACATGTGCCCAAAGCACCAGGAAGCCCCCTGTGTCTCCCATCACACCCTTTCCTTGGCCTCCTGGAGTGGAAGCACAGTCCACGATTCTGACCCTGGACTTCCATAATCTGTGGTAAGTGCCTAGCAGAGTGTGGTCCCAGAGCAGCAGGGGAAGAACTTCTTTCCACAACTGAGGAAAGGGGCAGATTGGAGCAGTTTCCTCTCAAGTTTGTAGCAAAATGCACGACTAGCTAAGAGCACTAGCTGAAGACTCCAGGCACCCCTGGCTGCTTGGCCATCTCTTTATCCACACAATGGGAGCAGCAAAAGTCAGTCAATGGAAAACTCCCACGCAGGACCCCACAATAGCAGTTCAGACCTGAGGGGAAAAGCCGCTGCCAGCATCCTGCTCAGTCAGAGAGTCTCTGATACCTTTGCTAAAGTGCCCACACAGGCAACTATTAGTGCAAGAGGTGGTTTCCTGCTAGGAACACTACACATTTGATTCCCTACAGGTCACTGTCGAGCCTTCAGCTAGCAATGGCTACTGGTCACTGCTGAGCTAGGTTGGATTCAAACCAGCAACCAACGGTGAAAGCCTCTGTGTCCCCAGTGCCGTTCAGTTCCCCCACGTTTTTCAGCTGAGTGTCCAGCATATTTGCAAATGTCAAGCTGCCTCTGACAAATAGTTAAGGGGTTTTCCGTGCAAAGGGTTATTTGAGGAGTGGGTGGCTCCCTGAGAACAAGACTAGAGCACTTCTGTCTCTACTTTCTTTTAAGCAACATGGCTGTGAGAGAGGGGAAGCAGGGGAACGTCCTCCAAAGGGCACAGCCAACATCTGCCATAATTAAAACACCCCCAAAGCCTGACGTCTCCAACAGCATTAGCTAAGGCAGGCAAAGCTCTCTGAGCTAATAACATATAACAGGAGCTGAAAGGCTGATGTGTTAGTAACTAACAGACATATATCCCTAGGCAAATCCCCTTTTCAGCCCCCAATAGTGAGACTGTTCCTCCCCATCTGGGGTCATCAGTGGGCTCCCTTGTGAGGTCCCCCACGAGCCAGAGTACTCACTGTGGTCCAGCCTAAGGGGCAGATGTTAACCACACATGACACAATGGAGGGTGGTTTCTCTTCCACTGGGCAGAGGCTGTCATCTACTACTGTTTCCAAGTCACCGTGAAGCTGAACACATGTCAGGTTCTGCTGGGCCACCCCAACTCCACAGATGGCAGAGCATTCGCCTGGCTCAGATCCTTTCCATCTACACAGGAAACACAGCCAGGACCCCCAGATCACAAAAGGTTTCATGGGCATCCCTGACCTGAAACCCAGGTCACCCAACACAGGGAGGTATTAATGCCCATTACACAGGAGGGCATGGAAATGAGGTACAGAAGGGTGATGTGACATGTTCAAGAGGTCACACAGCAAGTAGTGGCTGAGCTGATAAGAGGACCCAGTTGTCCTGGCTCCCAGGCCCCTACTCTAATCTACTCCAAGCCCTGTTCCTGTAGAAAACATTGGGTCTGTGTGATGGGAGTAGACAGGAAGAAACTTCTTTCAAGGCCTGTCTCCCCACAGAAACGCAAGTGCTCTGTACCCACATGTCCCAGCGGAAGGAGCAGTTGCGAGCAGTAGTCACCATGAAGGAAAGGGAAATAGAAATGCTTACATAGGCTGGGGAAGAAGTGAGCAGCCTTGAGAAAGAAGAATATGAAATACAGTACCATGGGACAGTCATAAGAAATCAAAGGAAAAGGACTCAGTACTTCCCCCTCACTCGCTCACCTACCCACCACTGCATCAGAATTACCTCAGGGGGCACAGCTGTGTATTGCACACCTCCGTGGAAGCAGGTTTGGGAGAATCAATGCACTTGTAATCAGGAAGAGTCAGGATCAAGCCCCCTATCTTCTCCACGCACCGAACCGGCCTCTCCATCACTCCACCCCCACAAGAGCTGCTGCATTGACCAAAGCTGCCCGGTGCCCAGCTGAGGAAGGACAGGAACTAGTTATGCCATCTCTAGGGGTAAGGGAATTTGACTTAATGGTGAAGTACTAGTGCTTGACTACTTGCCTTGGGGGACACGGTGCCATGGTACAGGGCTCCTGCCTGGAAGGGGGTCGTGGGGTCTCCAGACACTGTTGCTCATCTGTTATTTCATCCCTGGTCTGGTCAAAGCAAATGTGATCTACCAATTGTTCCCCTAGAAATGAAACAGAAGAGCAGAACTGCTACTGCTAAGATTCCTGACTGGGCCTGGGAAAGAGAGTCCCTGCTGACTCCTGCAGTTATGGAAAGAATTTGAGTTGCCCCTTCTCCAAAAAAAGGAAAGCAAAGGAGTTTCACCTTCACTGGTTTTAGGGTCACTTTCTAAGATGCACATCACAGAAAAGAGACTGTTTGACTTGGAGCCCAGTGCCAAAATAGAAAGATTAATGCAGACTGTCTCTTTCACAATGAGAACAGACACAACACTGTTAGGCTGATCAAACTGATTCTTAATTCTGATGATGAATGAAGCCTGAGCAATTGGTTACTGAAAGACACTTCCAGCCTGCTATTTCCATAAGAATTTCATGTTGAATTCTCCATAAACTGGGATTTAATGACTAAAATCATCTCAAGACCTTTTCGCCTGGATAACAGCATGCCATCTCTCTCATACATGGTCCAATATTTTTGGCTGGAGAGTATTTGGGGCAGGAGATTGTGCAAATTAAAGGCTGTCTGCGTTACATTAACCACTAAATGTTTTTAAAGTTGCCGATTTCAGCACAGTTCCTACCACAATCTGAGAATCGCCTGATTGAAACCTGACTGAACCAAGCTGCATGGCTCAGCGTAGGTCTTGCTCCCGATTTACCAACAGGCTGTGGAAGGAAGAATTGACAAGGCAGACTAAGGGGAACTGGCAACAGTAAGAGGGAGCCGCAGTATTGAGAAGCCTTGTCTACAGTTTCCCTGAAGTTTCTAAGGACTGATTATTTTTAGCATTAGATGATTTTATTAATTTGAAGAGCAAACTCCAATCCAATCTCCTTTCTCAGTAATATCATTTTCTCTTTGGAGAATTTATGTTGCATTAAATTGGTTTAAACAAGTTCCAATGACATTTCTGACTCTGATACTGTTTCTTTCAATGACAGTGACAAGTCTGGAAGGTTTGAGGATCTGAGGAGGCATCAGCCAGTCAACCCAAAATCTTGGACCAGCTCCCCTTAATTAGTCATTAGCCCTCCCATCTGCCTCACCTTCCCCACAGGTCACTGAGCAGGTCCCACGCCATGGAATCCACGCATACGTCTGGTTTTCCTTCGGTACAAAGTAGCTGAAGGTGATGTCCGGACTGGTTTTATCTCCATATTCTTTCCCATATTTCTGATAAACCTGAGGAGGGATGGGATACAAAACACTAGAGCAGTGCACTCCTTTTAGATTCAATGCACCCCTTGATAGATGTGAGGCCCCCCTTTTTCAACCTTTTTTTTTACTACAAAACAGTATACTAGAGCAAATACTAGAGCAATCCTGTTACAAAAAACTCAGAAAGATCCCAACAGGACTGGATGTTTTTAATGCTATGAATTCCAATTTGAAATCTCTGAGTTTATTTTGTGAATCATATTTGCACACCTAACAGAGCTAACATTGCATGGCAACCTGTGGCATCCTTGAAAGGATCTCAAGGCAGCCCAGGGTACCCACAGCACCCTCATTTGAGAATCACTGGACTAGAGCTTAGATAGGATCAACAGAGTAATTTCTGTCAATGAGCAATGCTGGAGAGTTCACTAAAAACAGGCTTGGTCTTTCCTTAACATCCAGTATTTGAAGTGTTGTCCAAAGAAAGAGAAAAAGGCCTTTGAGAAACACCTCATCCAGGGACTCCTCTACAAGACTCTAGTAGACTGCAAGAGCTAGGGAGTTTATAAGTTAAACAGATAGAATCCAAGTACTGTCATGACATCATGTGTTGGGACAGAGACCACTACGCTAATGCTCTTGTGTAAAACAGACAAGCTAACACAGGCCTAGTTATGCTTTAATTCCAGATTAAGTCTGTCATAAAAACTCCAAAATCTGAATCTGCATGCCACATCTGGGCACATCTCTTTGGTGACTCGGTATCTGGGAATCTCTTAAGACAACCATTACCGGGACATGAACCCTGCTAAGGAGTGATGTGCATTACATAGTTAGCCCATATCAGGTGTGTTTCTGTGGAGGGGATCCAGCATGACCTCATACCCCACAAGTGAGATTAACTGCCAGGAGTCCAGGATTTCCTCTTTTTTTCTGAACCAATCTTTACCCAAGTCTGAACACAACACAGAAGGAGCTTGTAACTCAGCCTTCTCACAGGTGATCAGGAACTGGCCCAAGGATGAGGCCTGCTGGCCATCCCTAATGGACTGGAATGAAGATTCTGTGCTTCAGTGCGGAGGTCTTAGCTTGGAGCCACCCAGTCCCACTCTGGCCATTTTTGGCCTCCCCTTGTAAAACCACAAGTCACCTGGATCTCTATGTCCTCTTGAGTTGGTCCATCCACATGGATTTCCTCTAGAATCGGCAGGTGGTCCTGAGTGAGAAACAGCGTGTATCTGATCTGGCTGTCTTCCAGTACTGATGGGTATGTAGTGTTCAATGAGATTGTTCCCTTCCCAGCCACCACATACTGACCTTTGATCTTCACAGCTAAAGGAGCAACAGCAACAGACGGAAAACATGGGTGTGAGATTCACTCACATCATCAATAAATAAAGATCCCATGAGGTATGTTTGTCTGGTCTAGTTCAGACATCCCACACAGTAGGGCTTCCCCAGTTCCCTGTGGCGAGTACCCCACAAGTGGACAAACTGCCCTGTCAGGAAGGTTTCTCACAATTTCTGCCTGTATGCATAGGAATACAATCAGCAAACTGATCCATAACCCTCACCCTTCCTCTCATGCTCACCCAAATGCGTGAAGAGGGGTTTCCGATTGACAACATGGACCTCAGTGGTGTTGCCAGGCAGGGCCAGAAATGTAACATATTCTGGAATGGTCAAAACAAAGAAGATCTGGTTATTTTTGTTTCTGCACCGTCTTTGAGAGCATGGTGGGTTCCAAATGAACAGCACTTGCAGTGCCTCTTTCGTCTTAGGATCTCAGGGTGCTTTACAAACAATAATCAAGCGTCTCAAAGGTACATGTCATCTGGTTTGCTTCACAAAAAGCATGGGTGGGGTGCTGAAACACTGGGCTACATTCACCCTTGCTGGAAGTCCCCTGACTTCACAGTCGTCCCCGGGATGAACATAGCTAAGAAAGTTCAAATGTGGTAGAGGACTTTCGTATTGTGTCAGCCTATGAAAGATGTGTGAGGGTGACTACAGGAGTGAGGATAGTGCCCTCAAAGCAGCACTGTACCTCTCTATACCTTCAGGCATGAGAAAGTCTGAAGTTCCCACTGATGCAGAGAATTGGATTTGGCTGAGCTCTTCCCCACCCAGTGCCAAAAGAGGAAATCAAAGCTGGAGTTGAGTCCTCAGGCAACGGGCAAAGGAGTAATCACACTACAGAGCTCAACAGAGAACACACCCTGCAGGTAGTTCTCCAGCAACCTGGCAGCTCTTAATCTCCTCCTCTGACAGTCCCTCAGGCCCCATCACCATCTTCCCCATGAGGAAAGAAATAAGCCACCAAGGGTGGGAAGAAAAGCTGACATCTGTGCTGGATGGAGGCTGGGTATAAGGCTTGCAAACCTTTGGCCTTTCCTTCCACATAGGAACCGCTCACTCTGGTACATGTGGTGTTATCTCCACCGCAGACTTTGCAAGCATCCATCACCTTCCCGGAGTCCATCTTACCATTACACCCAAACACCTGAGCCAAGGAAAAAACCAGTGAGACCAACTCGCTCTGAGCAGAACACGCAGAGGCTCAAAGTGCTACTTGCTACCATTCTCTTCTTCATTCTGCTTTTCTGCTGCAGAGATAACACAGGGAGTGAGCAACACATAAAGACTCTGCCATATACAAAAGATATCCAAAACTAGGGCCGGGGACTCCTGGGCTAGAAAGTCTTAATCTAGTAGAACTGAGAGTTTCATGAGTCACATAGCATCTTCTAGCCCTGAAGGAAGGATTGCCCACGTGACCCAAAACATCCACCATGTCCTACCATGAAGCCCCAGTATGATGCAAGATTAACTTGGCCAAAAATCCAACCTGATAATAAAAAATCTCCAGTAATTCCAGGGGAGCCAGGAGTCCAGCTGCTCCAGCTCACAGGCAGGCTTGATATATGGTGCTTGCCTGCAATCCAGAATCAGCTTGCAAAGGGAAAGGCCTTACCCTGCAGCTTCCCATCACACAGAGACTGAACGCGCCGTGAGCGTCGGAACCGCTTGGCCTGCACCTAGTCCCATCAGTGAAGCCCTCCCCACGGCTCCCAATGAAGTTCTTGCCAGCTGCCCTGCACATGTACTTGCACAGAATGTCCTCTGGGAAAAGCAGATGCAAGGAGAAAGGCAGAGTTACTCAGCCAAGAAAGCCCAATAGTCAAGTGAAAGATGGGAGGGAGGGGAAAGCCCCCATCAGGATGGGCTTTGGGCTATACTGGGAAATTACAAGCACCGCTAAAATAGTGGGCAGGAACAGCATCCCCTGGTGAGGTCCTCCATCCCACAGGTGAGGTACTCATTCCTTCTCCCTTCACTCTTTCAACTGCCATTTCTCCCATTACCTGCAGCATCACTGGCCGCCGAAGTCCAATTGTAAAAAGAGGCAACGCCTGCAGTGAAGTAGAACGGCTGAGGGTTGGTCGCGGCACACTGCTCAGCCATGAAGTCTACCTGGGTTGTGCTGCAGGCCTGGAAGAAAGTAAGACCCTGGAAATGAAGTCCTTCAAGAGGACAAGCCAGGAACTGCTTCTCCCACTATCTGCATGCAGTCCCCTCTGGGATGGAAAGCAGCAGCTGATTAACTATGTGGACCAATGAAACACCACATCAAAATAAAGTTGCAGGGGACTGGACAGGAGGTAACAGGGGGTTGTGTTTGGAGGTGGATTCTTGCTCAGTTGATGCCAGCAGACAGAAGTATGTCCCCTTTTGAGCAGAGCTGGGCATTAAAAAGAGCAGTGACCTGTTACACCTTACATGGGCTGTTTCAGCACAGCACTGTGCTCAGTCACCGTAGGACAAATACCATTGGGGCCAGCAAACAGATGGAGACTACAGGACATCCAGGAAGTGACCCTCACAGGAAAATCAACTGTTTCAACTTCAAAAGGTGCAGCCATGGGTAGTACAGTACTCAAAAGGTTAAAATGTCATATCAACTAGGAGTGAGAGAAGAGGCATCCGCCTACCTGGGTGTTGCACATCTCTGCTTGGAGGTCCTCTCCCAGGCACTGCTGGCCTCCAAAAGCAGGCCTGAAAACCAGAAACACCGAGTGAGAGGCAGGGGGAGAGACGCCACAGGGAGGAGGAAGAGGACCCTGATATGTCCCTCAATCCACAAGACTGGGAAGTATCTGCCCATGACCCTGCAACCCACCAAAACGGGGCAGCGATACATGCCAACAAAGACGTGACATGGGGACAAAACTGGTGAAAAGACAAGAACAAGCCAGGGCAGCGAGGCCTGGCTGTGCTGGCTCTGCCAGTGCAAGGGGCAGCACTCATCTTGCTGACTAAATCCAGTGCATCCCAGACTGCATGACTGGCCTAAGTACAGCACAGGGCACCCAGTCTTGTGCAAACAAACCTTCACCCACACAAGATGTCAGCCCCAGCCACGGGGTGGAAACAGGCTCCGTGGGCCTGCCCCCAGCTACAGGGCCCCATTCCCCCCTCCAGTGGCACTGCTGAAAAGTGTCCAAGTCTTACCTAGGGTTGTTACAGAATCGTCGCCTCACTGCAACTCCACCACCGCAACTGCGGGAGCAGGAAGTGAAAGGGCTCCAGCTGGACCAGTGGCCATGCACCACCGTGACAGGGTTCAGATCCTCCAGAGAGCTACATCGGCCCTTGGAGCACCACTGGAACAAGGAATGCCATATATAGGGCAGCAGCAGCAAGGGTGCAGCTATGAGTGCCAGGGCTGGTGACACCAGGGAAGACAGTACTGAGCCCTCCCCTTAAGCTGGTGGAAAGGCACCAGGAAGGGCAACTGCACATCAGTCACCTACCACCAGGATGTGGAGGCAAGCACAGACCCCAAGGCACAGGCACTAAAGCTGTCCTGTCTACAGAGCAGGGCCTAGGGGTTAATACACAGATCACCCACCCCAAGGAAGAGGACCCTCCCCTGCATGGCACTAACATCAGGCTACAAGACTGCAAAGTCCTTCCAGAGACACAGAGTCCCACCTGGTGCGGGGGGGAAGGCCCAAACCAACTAAGATCACATACAGCTTATAGCTCTAGCATTTGGAGTCAGCTCCCTAGAGAGAGAAGACCATTAGCCCTGTGGCACCACCAAACTATCTTCCACCACCACCCACTCCTGCCTCCAACCTCAGAAGCAGCCACAGACTTCGTACCTTACTGATCCCACACTCAGTACCGTCCAGAAGAGGGACAAGCAAGCGAGTGCAGCTGGACTGCTCAGCTGGGTTTGTGTGGCAAGAGAGGACGCTGCACATGTCCTGGCAAGGCAAGGAGGTCAGGGCATTCAGGGCATGCTCTAGCCTGTGGGCCAGTTTCTCCCTTTCCACCCCTACTAACACAGGAGTCACAGGACGGCCAGCAAGAATGGTTTGTTACCTTCCCTAAGCCTTCCCACAGCTCTGGCCAAGCTCTGTATGCACAGGTAACCAGAGAGCAGTTGGGAATCTGGCAGGCCTTCCCCACACCCACAGAGCTGCTTCCTTCAAGCCAGAGATGCCTCACACAGAAGCAGCCCCCTCTTCTGTGCCTCCAGATGCCAGCCTCACAGACATCACGTTCACAATTCAACTGGTGAGAGCAGATGATGCCCGTGCTGCACGTGGCAGGCACCACAGCCACTTCAGTGACTGGCACGGCCAAGCAGGATGCCAACCAACAGGCGCTTCCCACCACTCCCAGCTGCTAGCACCACCAGGCAGGGCCAACCCCCAACAGAAGCACAAGCAAGCAGAGAGCGTTCTACCTACAACATTGCTGTCAGCGAAGGTGCAAGCTGTGGCTGCAGCCCCAAAGGCAACTTTACACTGCTCATCCACACCATAGTATAAGCCAGGCTTCCACCCAGGGATGCTGCCTCCCAGGTCCGGCAGGTCATTTATGCAGCTGGCTTGGCCTGTACTGATAAAACCACAAGAGACTTCATTTCCCCATACGTGGCCAGGAAAGGCCAACACATACCTTAACCAAGGCTCAAGGCTCTGTCATGAGAGCCAGCTGCTACTTTGGAGTCTTAGCAAGTCACTGTACCTGGCTTGTTGGTTAAACAGTTCTTCTAAGGCATCTGCTACTTGCCGCTATGGCAGAGGGACCCTTCATCAGACCCAGTAAGGCAGCTGTTGCATTCCTCTGTTCTTCGCCAAGTAACACATACTCTCATTAAGTCTATCTCAGGCTCAGACATCTTGTTAGCTCAGGGTAGCATCTCTCAGGAAGGAGTAGGAAAAATGCCAAACAGAAACATCTTGCCCTGAATGAACAGGTTCCACCTAAGCTCCCCAGACTGACTCTTCATAGGAGGCAGCAACAGGGAATTGGTTTAAACTGCCCTTTACCATGTTCTCCTCTGTCCTCCATCCTGCACCCAAAGGGAATGAGACAGCAGCCTACAACGTATCTTCAAGAGGTCCTGGAAGCAAGGATAGTGCAGCCTTGGGGCAGGGACACAAGGGAATGGAAATGGGATCTTGTAGGCTTCAACCTGCTAGTGGGAAGCTTGTGAAGCAGCCACAGCCCAGATACAAGAGCTCACCAGAACCATTTCTAGTGACCCTGGGCATTCCTCTGTACCCCATGCTCCCTACAAAACCAGAGAGTTATAAACACAAACCTTTAGATTTACAGTTCCTCATTTTCCAAGTGGCTCCTACTTTACTCTTTGCTATTGCCTATAGATGTGCATGGGTAGAATCATTTGCTCCTCTTACCTGATGAAGGCAAGAAATTGCTCTCTGCTACACTCTGACCAAGCCAGGTCAATGCTGTTGTGGCTGCCCTCAGTGCCCATGATAAAGCCGCTCTTACTGCAAGAGTTCTCCTCACCGTCATGGGAGATTCCAAAACTGCGACATAAGGAGAAATGGGGGTTCTGCTCCTGAGCTAACACAGAACCACCTATCTATGGCAAGGTGACACAGGGGTGGGAAATGAAACCTCTGCTTCACGGAGGGCTGAGCTTCCCCAGTTTAGCTTTCATCTATCGTGGGACAAGAACAGGCACAGGGGCAAAAGCAGAACAGCTCGTGCATGGCAGGCTGCCCCTGTTTACCTTGGGACAAAGCAGGGTAGGCTGCCCCTGCTATCGTGGGACAAGAGCAGAACAGCTCGTGTATGGCAGGCTGCCCTTGTTTGCCCTGGGGTGAACCATTCATCTGACCATGTCCTGCAATATCCATTACAGGAATGGAGACCAGTATGAGTTCAGGACTGGGCGCTGTGACTCATGGACCCTATTCTTAGACAGTTCAAGAGTTCTTAGCTAAGCCACATCCTCACTCTGTATCTTGGTTTTACCACTCATAGAAAGGAGGTAAATACTGGTTCTTCACCTCATGGTAACGTTGAGGCCGAGTGTATGGAGAGATGACACACTTATCCCAGCATAACTTGCCTTTGCACCAGGTAACTGCATGGAGTGTGCGCATGATGGGCAGCTCTACAGCCCAGAGTAGGCTGCTCTACTCCTGGGTAAAGTTACCCCTCGGAAAGTCAGGAATAGCAAGTGTAAATTACACCAGCACACGCTGGAGGTCTGCAGTTCTAGTCAGCTTCACCCTGGGATAGCTGTTTCCTCAATGGAAGCAGGCTATACCCACCTCTCTTGCCACCTCGTGGTGAAGCTCTTTAATAGCATCTCCTTCAAGCAGTTACCAGGAGAGGGAGAGCTGATGTCCCATCCAAGCCCTTTGGTGTAACAGACTGCTGCACAAAACCAATGCAGTCACTCTAGGGCAGGGGCTCCCAAACTGTGGTATGTGTACCCCAAGGGTACACAAGGCATCTCTGGGGGGTTCACAGGAGAAATTGTGTAATGATGGATTTAATTTTCATTATAATAATAACTGGTATTTAAGGGGTTAAAATATAAAATGTATGCTGGTAGGGGTATGCAGGCAGCTGGTAAATCTGGGAGAGGGTAAGCAATAAGAAAAAGTTTGGGAACCTCTGCTCTAGAGTATAGGAATGTGTTGTGTGTTCACAACCTTTGCTTATAAAGGACTCCGAGAAGTACAGACCAGCATAGTTAGTTGCAGAAGTGCAAAGTGTTGAAGCTTCCACACTGCCTTGTTTAATCACATCTCACGTTGCCCTCCCCTTCTACACAGCATATAGTTTCCTCCAGAATAACATCTTATTATTAGTTTTTCCCATGCATTATTTCTATCACAGTGCTGCTCAGCCGTCTCCACTAGTACGGGGCCTTGCTGTACCTGGCACCATGCATACACATAGTAAGAAATGGTCTGTAGGCAACCAGACCAAGCACTTGGAAAAGGCAGTGGGGTAGCACCAATATACTAGAGGTTGATGGAAATGTGTGTGTGAAAGATGTACCTGCAGCAAAACGACAGGCTAAACTGTCTGCTGGTGCAAACTGGCAAAGATCCACAAGTGACAGAACAGCCCCAGCAGAGAACCTAGGCTGTAAACACTCAATCCCTGTTTTATTTAATTTGCTTCTCTATTATTTGCTCTCCAATTATCACCACCCTGCCCACAAGAACCTCAGTGCAACCTGTTCAACACCAGAGCTCTGCCCTATGGGACCCTCCTCCTCTGGACCAAAGCTCCACATCTCTACAGGAAGCGAGGCCATTAGCAGGGGATCCCTGATGCTTCCAAGGTTCAGAATCAGCTGGTGGCAAAGAGCTGAGCCCTGGTGTACAGCACCATGGCATGATGGCTCAGGGCTGAGGGCTCCAGGACATGCTGAGTGCCCTCTGCTATCAGAGCAGTCAATGGGATCTAAGGGAGTGGTGGACCTGGCAGGGTTAGTTACTGATCTTTATAAAGAAAACTTCAGAACTGCATTTCAACTAAACGAGTGGGTGCCCAAGGTGAACCCTTTTCTCTCCTTGAGTAAAATACAACAGCTGCTGTTAGCAAGGATGTGAGGTTCCACACTGACCTGTGCCCAATCTCATGGGCCATGGTGACTCCCAAGTCAAAACCAGTGTCCTCAGTGATAATGCAGCTCCAAGAGGAGGAGCAGGCTCCACCCAGCTGAGTGGCTCCACGAAGCTCTTTGTTCCCATTCAGTAACTCCAGGTCAAATCTGAGGGAAAGGAGAGAGGGAGGCAGAGATAGAGAGAAATTAAAAACCCAAACAAAAATGATTTCCAACCAACAATTCTTCAGCTTCTCCCCAGCCAACCTCCCCGTGTATTTCACACCCCTTTTTCACTGTGATGGAGGCATCCACATGGACCCCACCCCACACTTCCAGGCATATGTCGATTCTCTGTGAAAGCAGGTGTGATTCCCATACCCAAGGGGAATGAAAGGCAACAACAGAGCCCTACTGGTAGGAGGCAGGGATGCAGAATCCCCTCAGCAGAGAGCAGAGCAATAAAACAAGGGGACTGCTCTCAGTTGGAACTCAGCTTGTGTCACGTTTACCACCACCCACAAAGCCAACTGAGAGGACATGAGCCTGGAAGCTAAGCAATGTTCAAGAACAGAAGACGCCAAGGAAATCTCTGTATTGGGGAAAAATTTCTATCACAGCCCCTGAGTCCCTGTACCTCAGCCCATCCCTATACCTTCCTGCCCACAAATCAGCCTCATGTCCTGCCAGGTCCAAAAGACTATATTATATAGCATGCCGAGCCCACCACAGCCTCACTGACCTGTCCCTGAGGAATATGCTAGTTCACACTGAAGCTAAAAAAGGGGAATCACTGAGCACTCAGCCCCCAGAATGAAGCTTGAGCACTCTCTCTGCACTCTGGGAGCTGGTAGGTATGGGTTTATCAACTATTTCCCATCCAGATCAGTGGAATTTCTGCAAAGACCAGGCCACCCCCAGGTGAGGAACTGTTAGGAGGGAAGATCAACCCTCTCCCTTTTGCTCCTATCAGAGTGGAGCTCCTCCAGCTGCCACTCTGGCTTCCTGCTCGTTATAAACCAGGCCAACCTGACCAGACATCACTCATCCCCTCTCCAGGCAAAGATCTGCATTACCTGGTCACATACAGCACAAGATCAGCATGCTGGGGATCCGAGTCATCCTGGGGATTGACCTTCTTGCTCCACTCACACATGCTGATGAGGGAGGAGGTGATATTTGTGGTGATGTTCAGATCTGCCTACATGAAGGAAAAGTGTTCGTGCACCTCAGTTAGTTTAGGATCTCAGCAACCCCTTTAAGGCTGACAAGAGCAGAAAACAAGCCTGTTCCTACCTCTGGTTCTGTCAGGACAATTATTCTCATGAGGTGAACCCTGAACTGAACTCCCAGTGAAGCATCTCTCAGCAGTTCAGCACCCTGGCAAAAGAGAAGCAGGATCCACAATGATTACACAGAGAAGATGCCAGAGTGAGTGCTCCTGTCTGCCCAATGACATGTGCCCGCACTGCCACCACACTGGTGAGGACCTTCCCCCTTTCCAGCTGGATGCACTGCCAAGATGAGAAGCCAGATAATTAGCAGACAAATATAAGGGTGTTTCAGAAACTAATGGTGACATGGCTGCACACACTGCAGGTCTGCGACAAAGTGGGAAACTACACAGCAAGAGCAAACAGTGAGTTTCCCACATCATCAAATGCACCCATTGTTTATGGTTATGGAGAGTAGTTATGCGGACCAGTACGTGATCGTTGTGCACAATTGTTTTATTTCAAAACTGCCATTAGTTTCTGCAACACTCCCATACAAAATCTTCACATTGCTGTGGCACTCCATGGGCAGATGCTTGCAGAGGTCCATGCCCTAAAGCTCTTGGATCTCTCTTGGAACTAAACCCAATGTAAAACACCTTGTCTGGTCACTAAAGGGGAGTGCCATGATCCTCAACAAGCAAGGTTACAGGCCACACATATTGATGGAACCCAACCTGGCAAGGAATTTGATAGATGTGAACACAGATGCCCAAGTTCCCCAGGGTCACCCAACCCTGACAGTCATATGGTAAATGCAGCAAATGGGCAGTGGAGGGGGAAGTCAATAATAGCAACCAAATGCTAAAATGCAGAGAAGTAAAATGGACTTAAAAGGGCTCAGCCACTAAAATTCTGGGGAGTCTGACCTTCCACTGAATCCCACAGGCACTGAATCCAGCTCCAGATTAAAAGACTCTTAATACTGAAGCCAGTACCAGGTATTCATCAACACCGCTAATGAAATTAAGGAACACATTTTCCAACTACGATGCTACAGCAGCACTCACAGTACTTGCCAAGGCCCTCCTTCATACACACGGCTTCCTCTGTGAAGGTCAAACCCCACGCAAAGCACAGGGCTGCAGCAGTAGGCAACTGCTTTGCACACCATCCAGCCTCCCCGAGACAGCACTGGGCGCTCCCCACAAATGTCCGTACAAATGTTTTCAGAAGCTTGTGCTACACATGACTGGAGGGTGAGCAAGAAGACCGGCCAGAGGCTACGCTGAACCCACGACACCACAGAGCCCCAAGATGGTGCACTGAAAACAAAGAGCAAGCTACTCACAATGTTCAGGTTGGTGAGGATATACCTCTCAGTGTCTTCTCTGTGGAACTGGTACACATCTGGCCCCGCTGCAACCAGCAGCTCCAGGTGCTTGACAGTCCCCTCAGACCTTTTCCAAAGGCGAGGATGAAACATTTTTTCTATAATAACAACAAAGCAAAGGGGAGTTTAGAAAGCAAGAAGACCTGGGGGCTCCTGGGGACCCATTCCCTTCTGCTGAGCACAAGTCATTCACAAGACTGAAACCAGTGCAGGTAGGAATCTGTGAAGTGCTGAGAGGAAGCTCTCAGCAGCTGCCACCCTGGGCAATTTAACATATGCAAGTTGCCCAGGGGCAGCATTTGGCTGTCAGTTCCTATGTCAAGGCCAGCACGGCCAATACCTTTTGCTGTCTTTGCCCCTCTCCCCGTGGTTCTGAAGATGAGGTGGGGCCTGAAGAAGCTGAGGTCCTTCAGCAGGCTCCAGTGTTTACTTCTCACAGGCTTGATGTGAATCTTTTCCCCACTTGCAGTGATGATGCCTTGCTATAGGAGACAAAGATCTAGCCCTCTGTTATTCCAATAACCTCCAATGCCAATAGCAAGTCACATATGATCTCTCCTCCCACACTCTCCTGTGTCTTATTTCTTTATTTATTTGCCAGTCTTGGTATTTCCTTCTGTCTGAAATCTGGCAACATATACTATATTGAACTGTAAACTCTTCAAAGCAGCAATGATACGTGGTATGTCTTCTTTCAAGCACCTTCACAGTGCTGTACTAAAGAGCTGAGCAGATCCCAAATCCCAGTGCTACACTGTAAACCTTGTGAACACTGGGAGAAGCTTGGATTTCAGCCTCTAGTTCAATCTCCCTTCTACCCAGATGAGAATCCCCTTGCAGCCAATGCTACATACTCACCAGCTGTCCTTCGCAGTAACTGACCCTACACACAGCCCCCAAAGGAAGCAGTGGTTTTCCACCTGCAAAGCAGTTGCCTGGGAACCATTTTAGCAAGCTAACAGAAGCATTCAGCACTCGATGGCTCACAAAGGAAGGGGGAAGGAGTTCATGATCCTCTAGAAATTCAAAGGTGTAGAGCTCTCCCCATGACTGAAGGGAACAGCGTTGGACTTTACAAGCAGTCAGTCCCACCTGGTCTTCTTCACAGGTACAAGCAGGCTGAACAACAATGAACTCAGGTACTGGAAGAAAGAAAGGAAATGACCAAAAAACTACAGGAACCGTTCACAGTAACAACAGACATACATGGGAAAATACATGTCATCAATCTGCTTCCATGAAAAACAGCCATTTCCGGAGAGCTCGTGACCCTCCCCTTAAATAATGTCACCAGCCAGAGTCTTTTGTGTTTCTATCTAGCCCAAAATTAAGAACGATCATGTTGCTGAAGCACAGACTCAATCACCGGGGAGGTCTTAAGTCTATTTTCAGCTCTAAAACTGATTGTTTGTAGTCGAGATTTGTAACCACTCCGTGCCTTTGTTTCCCCATCTGCTATAAAATTGGGATAACAGTTTATTTGACAAGGGTCACAATGTTTTTGAGTTCATCAGCTGTCAAGCATTACTTAAAAGTAAATAATCACCATTTAAATACTAACAGCATGCTGAGTACTGGGCAAACAAAGAGAGATGCAACGTCCCTACCCTTGGAATCCAACAAGCTAAATTCCTTAGTCTTGAATTATCAGCCTAATCTCAAAATATTACTCTAGTCTCCAAAATGTTTCTAACAACCATCCTCAGTCCATACATTTGGACCTAAATGATTTGGATCTGTCCCTAGGGTTATCTGTAGTCTATAACTCTACCAATTTTGCATTAAAACAATAACAGTTAGCATAAAGCAGAGTTAAATGGAAGAATCAAAAGGAATTTCTGACCCATTTTAACAGACTGCTGAATAAGAGACCTGATTCTTTAGACATTTACACATTCCAGCCAGAACTGCATATGTGACTAAGGTCATTCACACTGAAAGCATCATAAGATCTAGGTTAACGTTAATGCAAGGCTCTTCAAATATGCCATATTAGAAACAATTTTAAACATACAATACAATCCAGAATTAAGACAGAAGTAGCCCTGCATACCATCAATAACTGACTTGGTGCCAAAATAAGAGAGAACATCTTCTGGATCCAAACCCCTGAGAAATTTCTGCAAAAAGAAAAAAAAAATCTTTGCCTTTTCAAGGAAAAAAAGAATCCATGTAGACACATGACTTTAATTCATCAAAACCTAATTATTAACTTAGATGTTTTACATTTTGATTCCATTTTTTTGCATTAAGCATATGGAACACACAGGTCATCCAGAGGAAATGATTAGTGAGGTTTCATAGACTTTGGTTTGAACATACATTATGTTATTTTGGGGGGAGGTGGGCAGGGGGAAAGGAGTCACACTTACCTCTTGGAAAGGAGATAGCCAGCCGAAGCCCAAGGGGAATATAGTAAAAGCTAAGATCATAAAGGGGGTGCTCATTGTGGAAGAGCTCACGCTGACACCGCAGAGCAAATACTGGCCTTAGGTTTAGCCCAAGGCATCACATGGAACGGAAGTTAGGAATACACAGAGTTTAAACAAATACAAGAGCTGATCCTCTCAAGGGAGGAGCTGCCGAGGGGATTATTCCGCTGCTGTGAGGCTTTGCAGGAACAGCTGGAGAGAGACAGACAGCTTTTGCGCAATGTTTGCAATTTTACTACAGCCAAAGAGCACAGTAAAAGTAGGAACCCAGGGCCAGTTTTAACAGTCAAGTAAACAAGTAAAGCAGCAACACAGGAAAGGAAAAGCAGCTTTGGAGCATCAAATCTGGAGAAGAGGATCCTTTCCAGCTCCTAAGGGCCTGATCAGCAGCACCCACTCAGATAAAACTTTCACTTACCCCTAGTCTAGAGGGAGAACAAAACACAACGTCACTGAGTTTGCAAGAGCGAGCTGCACTTAAGGCTCAGCTAACTGATTTAGTACTCGCTTAATTCAGCGACAAAAAATAACACGTAAGCCAGACTTTTGTGCTGACTGCAAATGTTACTGTATGCATGGATCCACTGGTAAAAATGAACAACTTTGGATGAAGATATAAAAGTGGCAGTGTCCCAGGATGTGCTGAAAGAGGTAGTCCACTATGTTAGCTCAAAGTCAGTCAGACAGCAGGGTAGATATGCACCTTTATAGACTACGTCATTAGAGACAGAGAGCACACAAGTTTTTGTGAACCCAAGTTCACTTCATCAGTGCTGGTCTCATCAGGCATTCAGAATGACCACGAGTCTTCGCCAGCAGCTCTGTGGGCTCTACCCTGGGTTTCTAGACTTCTTACTACCCCAGACTCGAGACAGAAATTTGAGGAAATACCCTAGATATGCCCTCAGTCGGATCGCTGCTGTTTTGTGCATAGTGGCGTATGCTCAGAAATTAACTGGACACATGAAGAGCGGTCAGTGTTGGCTGGCACAGACCCTACCCCTGCCTCATCCTGCTCAGCTTGCAGCTTTGCACACCGGCGGCAACTGCCGAGAAGCAGCAAGGAGCACCCAAGCAGCCAGCCGCTGGCCCGCCGCTGGCCCACCACTGGCAAGCGCTCCCAAGGCCACAGCTGGGGAAAATGCTACTGGACTGCCCCACTTCATGGTCACGCAGCTGCAGCCTCCCACGTCTGGTGGCCTCCTGGAGACTGTGCTGACTCGCCTGCCTGCCCTGTGTGCTCCTAGCTTGGCCCCAATGCAGCTCTTGCAGCCTCCTCCTGCCCTAAAGCAGCCCCCTGCCCCAATGCGACCCTCCTCTGAAAAAATGCAGCCCCTTCCTGCCTGCCCCGGCCCAATGCGGCCCTCTCCAACCTCCTCCTGCCCCAACACAGCCCCTTGCACTGAAACCCCTGCCCCACTCTGCAACCTCCCCCTGCCCCAGAGCAGCCCCCGTTGCCCC